GCAGATATCTCCTTGAATGAGGTGGAAGTTGCCATCAGCTGTCTGCCTCAAGGGAAAGCGGCTGGTTGGGATGGCATACCCTGCGAGCTTGTCAAGGGCTTCGAGGACTTCTTCGGTGGAGTCATACATCAAGTCCTCGCCGAATCCAAGCTTCGCGGGACTCTTCCAGAATCATCGAGGAGGAATATCATCTGCCTCGTCCCCAAAGCGCACGGTGGTCCGGGCCTAAGCGGTTACCGGCCCATATCACTTCCGACGGCAGACTACAGAATCATCAGCGGCGTTCTTCTGGGTCGTCTACGTCGCCACCTTCCAGCTATCGTGCCGGATTGCCAGACATACGCAGTTCCGGGAAGATGTCCCTCCTGGAACATCGCGTGCGTGTCTGACGAGGTGGCCCAGGCCTTCAAGAACAAGACGCCGCTAGCAGTCATCTCCACCGACCTGCAGTCCGCCTTTGACAACGTGGACCGAGAGTTCCTGGCCTCCCAGCTACGCATCATCGGCCTGCCTCCGCCCTTCATGGAATGGCTCCACCTGCTCTACGCGGAGGCCGACGCTACCATCAAGGTGGATGGAAACTTCACCCGCCCATTCAAAATGTGCAGAGGGCTTCGGCAGGGTTGTGCCTGCAGTGCAGCCCTTTTCTCCATCTTTACAGGTCCCCTCCTGCGCCACTTGGAGAGAATCCTCGGAAGAGGGAACGTCCTGGCGTACGCCGATGACATTCTCCTGCTGATCCGCGAGGATTGGCAGTTTGAGAGAGCCAAGACCATCTTTGACGAATTCCGGCGTGCGTCGGGAGTCAGCGTCAACTTCCCGAAAAGTAAAGGACTGTGGTGCGGCGCCTGGAGGGACCGTGCCGACTCTCCGCTGGGCATCTCGTGGTCCGCATCCTCCATCACGGTACTGGGCTGCGAAATAACATCAGGCCATGGAACCTCGGTCCAGGAAAATCACCTGCTGGGCATCTTGGAGAGGTCGATCTCCAGATGGTCCCCATTTGTCCGCGGCTTCTCCCTGGTGGGGCGGGCGAGAGCGGCCAACTCGCTAGTACTGGCGGCGGTGCTCCACCATCTGCACGGCTACCTGCCCGGTGATGCCACTATCGCCAAACTGCAGGTCAGGCTGACGCGGTTCGTCTGGGGATCCTGCCATCGCGCCGCCTGGCTCCCGGGAGGTCTACTGGCACGTCCTGTGTCCGTCGGTGGCGTAGGACTGCTCGACATCAGGACCCAACTCCAGCTCGCCTGCTTCAAGGGGGTCCAGGCTGCATCCAGAAATGGAGGCAAGAACGCCTACTCCTGGCTGGTGGAGTCTGGAGCCTGGATGACCCCCTTGTCCTCGGGTTCCTGGTTGCTGCCTCGCCGCCGCCGGCTGCTGGATCTATGGGGGCAGGCCTCCTCCATCCTGGGCCTGAACCCGCGACCTGGTAGGCCCTGCTCAGCCGCCCATCGCCAGGCTTACAAGAAGCGCCTGCGAAGATGCAGCTGCTCTTGGGGCATTTTGCCAACGCCTGGTGGCGGACAACGCGACGAGCGTCTACAGGGAGCGGACCTTGGAGGAAGCCGTGGTGCTGCGCGGGACGGCCACGCCGTTCTTGCGCATCAGCACACGCACTGCGCGTCGCATGTTGGAGCGTCCCCGCCTGGCCGCCGTTCCCATCTCGCGGTATCTCCGGCGCTGGGCGCCTGTCGTCGACGTGCACTCCACCAGCCCGGCGTTCTCATCTCTCCGTAGCTGCTCCTTCGGGGGCCATGCAGCGGACATCGCTCTGCGGCTAGCCCTGCACGCCCTGCCTCATCCGGGGCACCCGGGGTCGAGCCAGCCCGTCTGCATCGCCTGCGGCTCCAGCGACCTGTCGCTGGCTCATCGCTACTGGTCCTGCAGCGCCGTCCGCCCTCTTATCCGAGAGGTGTTCTCCATCATCGGGTGGCCGCCGGACCTGCAATCCTGGATCTTCGCGGTGAGCCTCGAGAACCACGCCATCACCATCTCCTCAGCGGCAAAGCATGCCATCTACGTCTTCTTCGTAGATCGCGAGATGCGTGGTATCTCTGGGGACCCATTGGCGATCTTCCATCAAACTCTGCAGCGGTGACAGAGGCGCCATGTACATAGTTGTATTTTTTAATCATTTTTAAAATCATTTTTTATTATAACCATCATCCTCATTATAAATTTCTCACTTTCTTATAATTAGTGCGGACTGTGCACTTTACATGTATTGACAAGATGTCAATAAAAATATGTCAATTGTCAATTGTCTCTCTCTCTCTCTCTCTCTCTCTCCCTCTCCCTCTCTCTCTTTGAAAATAATAAATTTAAAATACTCTTTCTTAAAAGGTAAAATTGCCTAATTCTTTAAAACCATTTCAGCTGTTAGTAAACTTATTATTTGTTGTTTCATCGTTTAAACCATAAAAGATTCCCAACATGGTAGCAGAGCGTGGTTTTGAATCGCGGTAAAATATATATAAAATATAGGATAAAATATAAATAAAAACAAAAATGGCTGTCAACGAAGATATCGCAAATATTGAGAGACTTAAAAGTCCTGAAAACTTTTATTTATGGAATTTTCAGATAACAATTATTTTCAAAGCAAATGGCCTTCTAGATATTGTAAATGGAAAATTGTTGTTTGAAGACTTGAAAGATGAATCTGGAAAAGATAAATGGAGCCTAAAAGACGCCAAAGCACAAAAATATATAATGTTAACCATTGAAAAGAATGTTTTAACACATATTCTAAATTGCAAAACTTCAAAATAAATGTATGAAAAACTAGTAGCCATTTATCAAAGAGAAGATGAGCAATTAAAATGCAAATTACTACAAGAATTTCATGGATTCAAATTTGATAAAAATACAGATATGGCAACAAATATAAGCAGAATGCAAAATTTACATAGAGTTTCCATTTACTCCAGAGCCCCACAACTTTAGAGAAGATTAGATGAATTAACCAAAGTGTGTGCAGAATATTTGCAGGTTATGTTTTTTATAGCAGGGTATATATTATGAACTCCCTGAGGACAAAAGAGTGGTCGGGAATTCCCGGCAAAAAGAGAGATCAGGAATCTCTTCAACTTTACAACAGGAATGGAGTGCCTCCAAAAACTGCTGACACAACTCTCAGGTGAGCTTCTTACTATTTTTCACCAACTTGACCTAGCTAATAAGGCCAGACAAGTCTTATTCATAGACTTGTACCCCAGCACAATGAAGGTATCTTTGCCAATTTTTTTGCTTTAAAGCCAACTCCTTAAACAACCCTACAAGATTATTATAGGGATAAAACCCCAATGGGCCTTCATGTGAACCTGCCCACTACATCATTATAGAATCCCTGACTGAAGGTTTCCCCAGTTGACCAATGTTTGGTGTGAACCATGTCATCAAGCACGTTGAGAGACTGGCAAGATCTGATGGCCAGAATAAAAGGATCGAGTGTAACACAGAATCAGTGTTCCCAACACCAGAAACCACCCCTTTAAAGTATGATTGCTAAATTACATTGGCCAGGCAACAACCGAGCCGATCCTATAACACGCTGCCACCTTTTTTCAGCACCCCTAGACTGCCTTCGCCATGCAGATTCAAGTGCACCATGACAACTCTTGTCACCATGCTATTTTTGTCAGGAAAACCACAGGAATGCCCAGTGTCCGCACTCACAATCATCTCACAGAAACAAGTGTTTTACCAGCAAACTAGGAGGCATCAGCCGAGGGCATCTCTCCCCACCTTCCTACCAAGGTCACAGCCAGAAAGTGACACCTGGTGACATCAACCCTGTCATCCGATACTCCAGTCCATGTCGCTTCCCAAAGCAACAAGATTGGAGGTAATTTCCGTTGCCCTTCATAATTTTAAAACTGGGACTACCATGCAAATGGTACAACAAGATACCACCCCAATCCAAACTGAACCATTGATACATGGGCCACTCAACAACCCCAATGTAGAGACTTCCACCAATTGTGACCAGAATGCTAACAACCAACTTCTTTTTTTTTTTTTTAATCTCCAAAACAATCTTTTCACCTTATCCTCCACCAGATATCCACCCGATCGTATATGGGGAATGTTGAAAGCAAATGTATATATATATATTTGTATTCCGTTTTCTTTTTTGTCTCTTTTGGTTTTATTTATGTGTTTTTTTTTTTTTTTTTTTATATTTGTTATTATTATATGATAAACATATCTTTGATTGACATTTATTAGCGGATGTTAATTGAGAATAATTTTGTTGATTTCAATTTCGTTGCATTCAAATACAGAAATCGCCTCTGAATAGCAGTGGTGGGAACCAGATAGACATCTCTTAATGATAACTACAGCTTAATATGTATTCCTTGCTTCCTTAGTTATGTCCTCGAGGCCTATATTTATGTATTTGTCCTCTTATTAGATATTGAAAGCTAGAGAATAAACATGTTTTTTAAAAAATACTTTTCCCTGGAGAGGCCTGATATATTTTACTCAGAAAATTGTTATCCTTTATCACTTCAGATAGTCAATATTAGTTTGCTTGACTTCCATATGGTCTGAAGGTTTCACCACAAACTTATGAGTGTGCAATCAACTAAATCTAACAATCTTAAATTTTATAGCACATTATTTTGACGATTTTATAATTTTTTCAAATTCTGTCAAAGAACATATTGGATCATTTACAAAGTTTTTTAAATGTATGTCACAAAGATACATTGTATGCATATGTAATATACATTGATTATTTGAAAAAAAAAGTACAATAAATTCAGAATACTACTCTAATCTGTTTATGGGTCCAGTTTGTGAAGCTATTCGTCAGAAAAGATCAGGAACGGTTAAACATGGTGTGTTTTCCCACCATGGCAACGCTCTCCACACACCGCCAAACACACTATGGAACCTTTAAGAAAACTTTGTTGGGAAGTATTTGTACATCCTCCCTAAAGTCCTGAACTCGCTCCTTGTGACTTTTATCTTTTTACACACCTTAAAGCTGCTCAACGTGGACAAAGATTCTTGACAAATTTGGAGGTGGAAATTATGCCAAAGAATGGTGTAGGGAACAACCACAAATCTTCTTTTCTCAGGGATTTGACAAGCAAGTTAAAAAATGGATATATGCATTGAAAAGGACAGTGATTGGTGTAGAATTTTTTTTCTATAAAGTAAGTTCCCCCCTTTCTTTTTTTTTTTTTTTGTGGACACTTTCCTAAAACTTATTGACTCACCCTCGTATAATCAAATCAGGCACATACACTCCCCAAATTAAGGTTTCCGCAAACCTTTTCAAGGATCCAAAATAAACGCCACATTCCTCTCAGATCGGGTGAACCTTTCCTACAATTAACACTGTCGGAAAAGAAGGAGTTCAAGGCAGCCAATGGGATGCCGACGACAGGGCTATGAAGATGCTACGAGTGGAATGAGGGCAAGCGAAACAAAAGAACTTGTAAACAATTTCAAACTGAACAATTTGCCCCGACTTCCTAATTATAAGACTGAATTATTTCCTTGAGAAATTATTTGTGAAGTAAGGAATCCTCTAAGACTTCAGATGAGCAGAGAAGGGTCCCACCACTACTTGTGTTATTAGGTATATGTAAATATTGGTGTAAAGAATGATGATCATGGGGCTGAATGTTGTATATGATCATCTTAATAAGGTTAATGGGAAATATGTAAATATATTAGTTAAGAAAAGTTGAATGTATGTAAATATAATTGTTATAGGAAAGTTTTGTATACTTTATATGTATATAGCTTTTAGTGAGTTGAGTGTTGTCTGAAGATAGATAATAGAATCATGATAAGGCTTAAATTGTGCAAGCCTTTTTTTTTCTTAAAAAATTATTGCATTTATTGCAAAATAAAAATTAAGAGTCATATTATAAAAGGGTAAATATTCTCTTGAACTACAACAATTCCCATATCTACTAAAGTATGAAGAAAACAAGAAGACCTGGATGTTTTGACAAACCCACGTCCAAGTTCCTCAAGACTCAACAACAGACTCAACTGTAGCTGCATCTCTTCGAGTCCTCACCTTCTGCCTTTATCAACTTTCAAACCGTGATTCAGAAGAAGTGATCAGCTACAACGGAGATGAACCTCCCATACACTTATTCTCACAACTTGAAGTTCAGCCAAGCTTCCTCAAATTAGAGCCAACACGCCAAGTTCAAAAGGCTCTACATCACTCAGAGGCGAACCTCGCAAAATCTTAGCACTATTCAAGTTCATCACTAAAAGGAAGACTAGACAGTGTTCAAGCAAAAGCGGCCAAAATAATCACTGGTGCTGTTTCATCCAACAACAATGAGAAAATTCAGAGAGAATGTGGCCTAGTCCTACTCGAAAGCAGAGGACAATTAAAAACATTAAAACTCACCAATAGCTTAAAAAGTAAAGAAACTGAACACATATCCCATAGAACCAACCTATTTAAACTGGACACAAAAAGAAAGACTCAAAAGATCTTCAACACTTCAATACGACAACAATATTAGAAAGGGCATAAATATGAAACACAAGTGTCAAATTATATTGACAAATATTTGCATGTTTTTAATCTTATCTCAGGTTTTAGTGGGAAAGATTTTGTTTTTGTTTGATAGTGGACCAATCTCTCCCACCTTCTCATTGGACGAATGTGGCCATGTCTGTATATATAAGGGGGCTATGGAATTGCGAGAAAGAAGTGTGGTGGATTATCGTGTGGAGACGCTTAAAGTGTTCTCCACGTGCTTTATCCGTGTCTAGCTATCTCCTCGCATACCTGTGTAACCCCGGTCCAATCTCTACCAATGCAACAAGGCAACCAACGCATCGACCCCAGCAAAATAGTGGTGTTGGACCATGTGGTGACCACACAGGATCGTCAGCAATTCATTACGTTAAAGTATATTGGGGACGACGGCATCGAGCGGGAAATCCTCGTTCCCTTCATTAACCCGGAGGAGCATCAAGGGGCCACATGTGAATCCATCCATGTCACTTTGTACCTTCTTCAATATATTTGTTTTTATTTATAGAGATATTTTGGTTAGAAGAAAGCTGAAAATTTAACAGCCTTTATTTACACATTCAGGCCGTAAAACTACAATGTTTTGTTGAAGTAAATAAATACTTACTTTGATTATAAAAAAAAAAAAACAATAAAGATAAGTACTGTGTGTGTGTGTGTTTTTTTTTTTTATTTTATCTAACAAATTGTGATTTATTATTTATCTTTTTTTTTTTTTTGAGTGCGATTTTTGTGTGTTTAGTTACTATTACTCTAGGCCCTAGATTATTGCAACTTTATGTGTTAACCTGTAATAGTAACTTTTGTGTAAAGGAGTTTCCAATTCAATAAGAACCAATATTTCCTACCCCATTGCCATCAAATGTACTCATCAATCTTAACCTGAATGAACCCTGCAATAAAAAAGAGAACAAAAACATACTCAAAAAGAAAGGACTTGACACAATTGGTTTATACGATCAGAGAAATTATTTAACAGCATATACAGATGGATCAGACTGGTAGCAGGCATCATCCTCGGAGGCCATGTTCCTTCTGGTGTCTTCTTAAAGCCAGATGCTCGGCTATATATATCCTCCTTTCACCCTTCCTTATTTTCCGCCATTTCCCCCCCACAAAATTGCTGTGTCAACCTGAAGTTTTCGAATATCTTTTTGATATTGATAAAAACTAATAAATGAATTATTTTATCTTATCTTTGATCGATAACTTTCCTGCTCAAAAAGCAAGTGCACAGAACCTTGCTGCCTCACCAATAATCTTGAGCTCTTCTGGGCAGCCGCAACGGCTACAAATAGCCCCATATGCACCTGAGAAGTGGTAATCATAGCCCATTAGCCCCTCCTAATCTTTCAAATTCCTCTACCATCCTCAACCCAATCCTGGGCAGGATAGATGCCCTCCAGAACCTATCACCTCACCCTGGCCACAACCCTTCCATCACTCCGCCGCCTTCTTCCCAGATGCCCGGCACACAAGCCCACCAAGAAACCTCCCCACTGCCTCCCCGGTCTACGGATAATTCTACAACTCCATCATTGGTGAGTCGTTTCCCCCCTGATAAGAATTCCGGACGCAGTACCCCCCTATTAATTTATAAGAAACGTCCCTTTCCATATTACCCTGCTTTCGTATCTGTTGTCCTCCTCTGACTCCATTTGTCTCCAATGGGCTAATGACACACAGAGGACCCTAATTGACACCCATAAATCTAATAAATGTGACCCTACCATGACTGAGCAACCAAACGATGGTATTATCCCTAATTTTAAAGCCTTACTTGGACACAAAAACAACCAGCTCAAATTCATTACGGACACCTACCAAGGTTTGATTAACAAACATTTTAATAACATACTTAGTAGTTCCACCACCGAAAGTCCTTCAGTTACTGCCACTGAGAACATTTCCACCCCACACACCTCATCCAATCCTCCTAACAATACCCAAAACTCTCCCTCTCATCCTCCTACTCAGCAACTTCCCACAGCCCTCTCGCCACCCTCCCCTCATATTCCCAATACTTCTGCCACCACCCACCCATTCACCTGCTCAAACCCTACCCACCCATAATAACCGCCCACGCTCCAAACCCAAACATTTTGATACAAAATGTAACCCCTTTCACCTTACCTGTTGTTTATGTTGTTAAAAAACAACAAACAACATGGTGACAGCAGAAAAGTAAGTACTTTTTCAAATAAATATATTATTGACAAATATTAGTGAAAAAAAAAAAGAAAACATGGACTTTGTTAGGCCTAGCGAACTTGCCTTGCACGGTAATGTGTAGCGGAAAATTGGCGAATTTCAAACAGCGATTAATGCTTTATCTTGAAGCAACAGAAAAAGCCACAAAGCCTGATAAACTGAAAGTTGCCATTTTATTAAATTTTATTGGCGAAGAAGCCTTGGAAGTTTTCAACACATTTCATTTAAAAGAAGATGAAGCAGAAAATTTTGATCTAGTAATAAACAAATTTAATGATTTTTGCGAGCCTAAAAAGAACATCATTTTTGAAAGATTCAAATTTTTTTCAGGGACACAGAAGGATGGTGAATCCATCGATAGTTTTATAACAGAACTAAAAGGATTATCCACATCATGTGAATTTGAATCACAAAAGGATAGTTTAATTAGAGATCGCATTGTGTATGGAATACAAGACAAGGCTTTGCAGGAAAAAATTGCTGTATATTTCATGGAGGTGAGTGGAACCAGTTCCATCTTGGTTGTCAATTACCACTCAAAGTTTGTTGAAATCCGGAAATTATCAAGCAAAAGAGAAACCAAAACCATCATGCAGTTGAAGACCATTTTCAGGATTCATGGAATTCCAAGAACTCTAGTTTCGGATAATGGACCCCCTTTTAACTTTACTGGATTCAAAAATTTGCTCAGAAATATGAATTCAAACACCAAACCTCCAGTGTCCCAAATATCCAAGATCTAATGGACAAGTTGAGAGGACAATTCAAACCATCAAAGGACTGATAATTAAAGCTGTGAAGTCAGGAAGAGATCCCAATCTGGCTTTGATGGAGTTCAACAACACACCTAAGTATGACTTGCCAACTCCGACCCAAATGCTTATGGAAAGATCTGTGAGAACTCTTTCGACATACATTTGACAACAGTTAAAACCACTGTTTGACACAACAAAAAATTACCAAAAATTGAGAGACCATCAACAAAAGTATGCAGGAAGTCCAAAGAGAATTTTGAGACCTTTGGAAGTAGGAGACAACATCATGTTGCAGGAAAAGCATAGAAAATGGGTTCCGGCAACAGTGACCGCCTAGCAAGAAACTGAACTCAATTCTTTATTTATTTTACATATGTCCTTTTTATATCATTGTTATTTACATATCCTATGTTTTCAATCGAGTCTGCCGTGTTGCCGGATCAACTTGTCAGTTCAATCATAACATTGCCCTCAGTCAAAACGACCGCTGCCAATCCCCCCTATCCTCCCGTTTGCACGCCCTAGTTCCATCCAATTCCCCAAGTATCCCCATCATGCACAACCAAGGTATCCCGAGACAAAATAATTATGCACACAAATAGTAAACTTAACCTTGACAGACAAAATTGGAGGCTGCCACCAAGAATACTGACATACAGGTTACATTACCTCAAACACAGATACACCAACATCCCAGACATCTATAAAGAAGACGAGTTATCTCAACTCTTCTCCTCTTTGGACAATAACACAATTGATGGCAAGCTAGTACGCACATTCATCAGTAAGACCCAGAGTTGTCACGCTATTTTTGAAACAGATATTTCATCTTCCTCGCTTCTTAACCCCCTAAAAAATATCAAAGAAGACCCTAGCTCAGTTGGGTGTGCAACATTTGAGGAGTTTACCGAGTTCCTTGAGAAGAAGGTCTCAGATGTGACAGGGCGGTTTGGTCATGAAATTAATGTCAATGAGAGTTATGCATCAAGCGAGTTTTTCTCCTTCTCAAAGAGCTATTATTTCGAGGAATGCATACTCCCTGGAGTCTTGAGGAAAATCCAGAAAGCTTATGGCTTTTCAAATGTTCCCTGCTGTAGAATCACTAGTCAGTGGCTGCTTCTCAAATGGACATGGGTCTTGTCATTCTAGCACTACCATTTAGTAGCATTATAGCTAGACCTGTCGAAACCCTTAAGATCTTGGGATTTACCTTGAAAAATCATCAAAGCAGGAACAAGTTGGACTTCATGTCACACATTAATGAAGTCGTCGACAAAACTACTAGAGCTAGCAGTTACCTACTCAGTTTAATAAAGAAAGCATGGGGTCTAGAATGCAGACAAAAATTTGGTATAATTTGGTATTTGTGTTAGTATATGTGTACAGTTTGACGATGTTGCGGTATAGGCCTGTATGCAGTGTTTTAGAATATTATATTGCAGGGAATTTAGTTTGGCTTTCTTGCTTATAAATGGAAACCATATTGTTTGACACACAGATTACATAGAATCCAACATATTGAAAAATGAAATAGACTACAATAGATTTAATTTATCAAGCATTAAAGAAATTGCTAACTATAATGAAAGAAAATTAAGGAATACTATGAAGAATAATTTCAATAATTTCAAATGTTTTTTCACCTCCTCAAAAATATCAGAGAGATAATAATTTGGAGAGATGAACCTTCCACACACTTATTCTAACAACTTGAAGTTCAGCCAAGCTTCCTCAAATTAGAGCCAACACGCCAAGTTCAAAAGGCTCTACATCACTCAGAGGCGAACCTCGCAAAATCTTAGCACTATTCAAGTTCATCACTAAAAGGAAGACTAGACAGTGTTCAAGCAAAAGCGGCCAAAATAATCACTGGTGCTGTTTCATCCATCAACAATGAGAAAATTCAGAGAGAATGTGGCCTAGTCCTACTCGAAAGCAGAGGACAATTAAAAACATTAAAACTCACCAATAGCTTAAAAAGTAAAGAAACTGAACACATATCCCATAGAACCAACCTATTTAAACTGGACACAAAAAGAAAGACTCAAAAGATCTTCAACACTTCAATACGACAACAATATTAGAAAGGGCATAAATATGAAACACAAGTGTCAAATTATATTGACAAATATTTGCATGTTTTTAATCTTATCTCAGGTTTTAGTGGGAAAGATTTTGTTTTTGTTTGATAGTGGACCAATCTCTCCCACCTTCTCATTGGACGAATGTGGCCATGTCTGTATATATAAGGGGGCTATGGAATTGCGAGAAAGAAGTGTGGTGGATTATCGTGTGGAGACGCTTAAAGTGTTCTCCACGTGCTTTATCCGTGTCTAGCTATCTCCTCGCATACCTGTGTAACCCCGGTCCAATCTCTACCAATGCAACAAGGCAACCAACGCATCGACCCCAGCAAAATAGTGGTGTTGGACCGTGTGGTGACCACACAGGATCGTCAGCAATTCATTACGTTAAAGTATATTGGGGACGACGGCATCGAGCGGGAAATCCTCGTTCCCTTCATTAACCCGGAGGAGCATCAAGGGGCCACATCTGAATCCATCCATGTCACTTTGTACCTTCTTCAATATATTTGTTTTTATTTATGGAGATATTTTAGTTAAAAGAAAGCTGAAAATTTAACAGTCTTTATTTACACATTTAGGCCGTAAAACTACAATGTTTTGTTGAAGTAAATAAATACTTACTTTGATTATAAAAAAAAAAAAACAATAAAGATAAGTACTGTGTGTGTGTGTTTTTTTTTTATTTTATCTAACAAATTGTGATTTATTATTTATCTTTTTTTTTTTTTTTGAGTGTGCGATTTTTGTGTGTTTAGTTACCATTACTCTAGGCCCTAGATTATTGCAACTTTGTGTGTTAACCCGTAATAGTAACTTTTGTCACAAGGACTTTCCAATTCAATGAGAACCAATATTTCCTACCCCATTGCATCAAATGTAATCATCAATCTTAACCTGAATGAACCCTGCAATAAAAAAGAGAACAAAAACATACTCAAAAAGAAAGGACTTGACACAATTGGTTTATACGATCAGAGAAATTATTTAACAGCATATACAAATGGATCAGACTGGTAGCAGGCATCATCCTCGGAGGCCATGTACCTTCTGGTGTCTTCTTAAAGCCAGATGCTCGGCTATATATATCCTCCTTTCACCCTTCCTTATTTTCCGCCATTTCCCCCCCAAAATTGCTGTGTCAACCTGAAGTTTTCGAATATCTTTTTGATATTGATAAAAACTAATAAATTAATTATTTTATTTTATCTTTGATCGATAACTTTCCTGCCCAAAAAGCAAATGCACAGAACCTTGCTGCCTCACCAATAATCTTGAGCTCTTCTGGGCAGCCGCAACGGCTACAAATAGCCCCATATGCACCTGAGAAGTGGTAATCATAGCCCATTAGCCCCTCCTAATCTTTCAAATTCCTCTAGCATCCTCAACCCAATCCTGGGCAGGATGGATGCCCTCCAGAACCTATCACCTCACCCTGGCCACGACCCTTCCATCACTCCGCCGCCTTCTTCCCAGATGCCCGGCACACAAGCCCACCAAGAAACCTCCCCACTGCCTCCCTGGTCTACGGATAATTCTACAACTCCATCATTGGTGAGTCGTTTCCCCCCTGATAAGAATTCCGGACGCAGTACCCCCCTATTAATTTATAAGAAACGTCCCTTTCCATATTACCCTGCTTTCGCATCTGTTGTCCTCCTCTGACTCCATTTGTCTCCAATGGGCTAATGACACACAGAGGACCCTAATTGACACCCATAAATCTAATAAATGTGACCCTACCATGACTGAGCAACCAAACGATGGTATTATCCCTAATTTTAAAGCCTTACTTGGACACAAAAACAACCAGCTCAAATTCATTACGGACACCTACCAAGGTTTGATTAACAAACATTTTAATAACATACTTAGTAGCTCCACCACCGAAAGTCCTTCAGTTACTGCCACTGAGAACATTTCCACCCCACACACTTCATCCAATCCTCCTAACAATACCCAAAACTCTCCCTCTCATCCTCCTACTCAGCAACTTCCCACAGCCCTCTCGCCACCCTCCCCTCATATTCCCAATACTTCTGCCACCACCCACCCATTCACCTGCTCAAACCCTACCCACCCATAATAACCGCCCACGCTCCAAACCCAAACATTTCAATACAAAATGTAACCCCTTTCACCTTACCTGTTGTTTATGTTGTTAAAAAACAACAAACAACATGGTGACAGCAGAAAAGTAAGTACTTTTTCAAATAAATATATTATTGACAAATATTAGTGAAAAAAAAAAAAGAAAACATGGACTTTGTTAGGCCTAGCGAACTTGCCTTGCACGGTAATGTGTAGCGGAAAATTGGCGAATTTCAAACAGCGATTAATGCTTTATCTTGAAGCAACAGAAAAAGCCACAAAGCCTGATAAACTGAAAGTTGCCATTTTATTAAATTTTATTGGCGAAGAAGCCTTGGAAGTTTTCAACACATTTCATTTAAAAGAAGATGAAGCAGAAAATTTTGATCTAGTAATAAAAAATTTAATGATTTTTGCGAGCCTAAAAAGAACATCATTTTTGAAAGATTCAAATTTTTTTCAGGGACACAGAAGGATGGTGAATCCATCGATAGTTTTATAACAGAACTAAAAGGATTATCCACATCATGTGAATTTGAATCACAAAAGGATAGTTTAATTAGAGATCGCATTGTGTATGGAATACAAGACAAGGCTTTGCAGGAAAAAATTGCTGTATATTTCATGGAGGTGAGTGGAACCAGTTCCATCTTGGTTGTCAATTACCACTCAAAGTTTGTTGAAATCCGGAAATTATCAAGCAAAAGAGAAACCAAAACCATCATGCAGTTGAAGACCATTTTCAGGATTCATGGAATTACAAGAACTCTAGTTTCGGATAATGGACCCCCTTTTAAGTCTACTGGATTCAAAAATTTGCTCAGAAATATGAATTCAAACACCAAACCTCCAGTGTCCCAAATATCCAAGATCTAATGGACAAGTTGAGAGGACAATTCAAACCATCAAAGGACTGATAATTAAAGCTGTGAAGTCAGGAAGAGATCCCAATCTGGCTTTGATGGAGTTCAACAACACACCTAAGTATGACTTGCCAACTCCGACCCAAATGCTTATGGGAAGATCTGTGAGAACTCTTTCGACATACATTTGACAACAGTTAAAACCACTGTTTGACACAACAAAAAATTACCAAAAATTGAGAGACCATCAACAAAAGTATGCAGGAAGTCCAAAGAGAATTTTGAGACCTTTGGAAGTAGGAGACAACATCATGTTGCAGCAAAGCATAGAAAATGGGCTCCGGCAACAGTGACCGACAAGCAAGAAACTGAACTCAATTCTTTATTTATTTTACATATGTCCTTTTTATATCATTGTTATTTACATATCCTATGTTTTCAATCGAGTCTGCCGTGTTGCCGGATCAACTTGTCAGTTCAATCATAACATTGCCCTCAGTCAAAACGACCGCTGCCAATCCCCCCTATCCTCCCGTTTGCACGCCCTAGTTCCATCCAATTCCCCAAGTATCCCCATCATGCACAACCAAGGTGTCCCGAGACAAGATAATTATGCACACAAATAGTAAACTTAACCTTGACAGACAAAATTGGAGGCTGCCACCAAGAATACTGACATACAGGTTACATTACCTCAAACACAGATACACCAACATCCCAGACATCTATAAAGAAGACGAGTTATCTCAACTCTTCTCCTCTTTGGACAATAACACAATTGATGGCAAGCTAGTCCGCACATTCATCAGTAAGACCCAGTGTTGTCACGCTATTTTTGAAACAGATATTTCATCTTCCTTGCTTCTTAACCCCCTAAAAAATATCAAAGAAGACCCTAGCTCAGTTGGGTGTGCAACATTTGAGGAGTTTACTGAGTTCCTTGAGAAGAAGGTCTCAGATGTGACAGGGCGGTTTGGTCATGAAATTAATGTCAATGAGAGTTATGCATCAAGCAAGTTTTTCTCCTTCTCAAAGAGCTATTATTTCGAGGAATGCATACTCCCTGGAGTCTTGAGGTAAATCCAGAAAGCTTATGGCTTTTAAAATGTTCCCTGCTGTAGAATCACTAGTCAGTGGCTGCTTCTCAAATGGACATGGGTCTTGTCATTCTAGCACTACCATCCTGCCTCAGTACTGCGTATCTATCTGGTCGTCTCTATAAAAGCCATGACGAACTAAAGACAAAAATTAACAATGTACTTAGTAAAATTAATACCTGGTGTGAAAACAGCAAATTACAGATATCAAAGGACAAAATGAAAATAATATATGTCATAATTTGTATAGTTAATGCCAAAAGATATAATTTATTTCCGTCAAACTAAGTATGTAAATATGTTACCATTGTGTTAAAATGTAAATATGTAAATTCCTCCATGTATAAAAGCTGGACAAAAAATAAAGGTGGCAGACATCGCGGGTGCGCTGTTCCCTAGGCATAACGACTGCGCCTCGTCATTTAGCTATGACATATATTTATATAATTGCAAAAATGATACAAAATCATTTAGTAGCAATATAGCTAGACCTGTCGAAACCCTTAAGATCTTGGGATTTACCTTGAAAAATCATCAAAGCAGGAACAAGTTGGACTTCATGTCACACATTAATGAAGTCGTCGACAAAACTACTAGAGCTAGCAGTTACCTACTCAGTTTAATAAAGAAAGCATGGGGTCTAGAATGCAGACAAAAATTAACTTTATACTTTATACTCTGAAGTACAATAACATATGGTCAAACAATATGGTTTCCATTTATAAGCAAGAAAGCCAAACTAAATTCCCTGCAGTATAATATTCTAAAACACTGCATACAGGCCTATACCACAACATCGTCAAACTGTACACATATACTAACACAAATACCAAAACTCACAGATTACATAGAATCCAACATATTGAAAAATGAAATAGGGTACAATAGTTTTAATTTATCAAACATAAAGAAATTGCTAACTATAATGAAAGAAAATTACAGGAATACTATGAAGAATCCAACAATATTTTCAAATGTTTTTCACCTCCTCAAAAATATCAAAATTTATCAAACCACAAACTTCTACAATGTTCAATTCTTTACGGGCCATGGTAACTTCAAATCATATCTCTTCAGAATTAGAAAAATAGAATCGCCCAGATGCTCTGTAGATGCATGGAGACATTTGAGGCTCTTCATTCGACACGACAACAACAACTTAGCACTACTTTCAACAAGACCTATAAAGAGGTCCAGGAGGCACTTTGTGGCGTCTATCCCAGACACCCTAGCTTCATTCTTCGATAGTTCTATGAACTTGAATGCACTTCTATGGCCAAGAGTTCTAGACCTAATACAAGGATAAGGCCCGAATCAGGTTGGCCATCAACCTCCCCAAGAGTGCCATCATGCAAGCACTATCCAACAGTGTACACAATAAGCTACAGCAATCTTTTAAAGATGGCACAACCCTCGGAACCAGGCAGAGTGGTTGTGCGTAGCCCAGCAGCTGGCTTACGAAGGGGATAACACCAGCACTAAAGCTGCCCAAGAATGATCACCACGCCAGAGCGGGGCAACTCCTACCACCATGGACAAGACCCCATCATATCCCTGCCGCTACTGTGGCGGACAACACTGGCACGCACAGTGTCAGCAGAGAGGACTCTACCAGTGGACATTTCGGACCTGTAGACCTGCGGTCTACAGCATCAAGCAGCACCAAAATTTTAGTCTGTCTGCAGGTGTCTACGAGATCTCAGCAACGACAAGCTCTGGAGAAACCAAGCAATGCCAACATCGGCAGCAGAACTTTCCCCAAGGCTTAGTATACCTACTTGCATCTAAACCAGCATACACATGTGAGTGCAATTGTTTTAAGCCCTAGCATTCACACACATTCTTTAGAGATTTCATTCCTTGTTGACTCTGGAGCCAATAAGTCCATAATTAATTTAGATCAATTTGAAAACATAAAAATTTTTACTGATTCCATTTATTCCACCAACGCTATCATAAATGGATTCATTATCTTACTATTATCTAGTCATGCGAATGCCATTGGCTTAGTTACCTTACCAATCAAATTTAATAATTATAATTTTGACAAAACATTTTATATTGTGAAATATGAATGCATCGCCATTTGGAAAGGATGCGCGGGGGGAGGCCCAGGAGGTGCGCGCGCAGTGGAACAGTGGGAGCATGCGCGGATGAGGTTGTTCTTGGCTGCCATTTGTAAACATACTGCGCTAGCTCCCGTTATTCTCTTCTTTGTAACCTTACTTTAAATAAACTATATTTAATCTCAACATCGAATTCTATTTAATTTATTCTACTCTACAAAGTGGTGGAGATGCTGGGTACCTAAAGAAGAAGAACGCTCTATTAGAAGAAGCAGAAGATTACAAGGACTTACCCCCGACAACACAGCGACAATGAACAACAGAAGCGAGGCGACCACTCAGGTGAGTCCACTCTTTTGTCAGAATGTGGTGCGGAACCCTTCCATGTTCTCTGGTGAGATCAGCGAAGACCCCCAAGCCTGGCTGAAAGGTTATGAAAGAGTGGCAAGACATAACCATTGGGACAATTCGCTCAGTCTGGCTAACGTGTACTTTTATCTACACTGTACCGCTCAACGGTGGTACGAAAATAATGAGGAAAATATCCCATCGTGGGAGATATTTAAAGACCAACTAGGATCCGTATTTGGGAAGAAAGATAACCTGCGGCGTCAAGCCGAGCAAAAGCTAAAGGTGCGAGCTCAAACGAGGGGCGAAACCACTGAATTTTATATCCAAGATGTTTTGCGACTCTGCAGGGAAGTAGATGCACAGATGCCAGAAGAAGAGAGACTATCTCATCTGATGAAGGGAGTAGCAGAGGAAGTCTACCGGTATCTTCTGCCGCGAGACATAGCGACGACGGATCAGTTTATCGCAGAGTGTCGTCGCGTTGTGGCGCTCCAAGGACGACGAGTGACAGCCTCAAAATTCGAGCGCTTGCCCAATGTTACCTCGCTTGGTGACCTGGGGGACGTGACGGATCTACAGTCTCTGATAAGACAGATCGTTAGAGAAGAAGTGCAGCGGGCCACGGGAAGAACCAAGAATCTCCTCCCTTGAGGAAATAGTGAAGGAGGAAGTCGACAAAGTCCTCGCTCCCATGTCGGGGATAAATACCTTCCCAATGGAATCGGCGGCGAGGTCAGCACCACGGAACTATAGAAAGAACACCTGGTATGCACCTAAGGTCGAAGCAAGTGGCTCAAGAATCGAAGTACGGGACACTAATGAGTGGAGGACCCCAGACGGCACGCCCGTATGCTTCCACTGTGGACGGCCCGGCCACGTTGTCCGCTATTGCCGCTGTTAGTGAAAGGCAAGCCCGCGCGACGAAGAGAAGAACAGTTTTCAACCAACACCACCGCCGAGGGACGGTGGCGACGTCACGGTCGGTGCGCATGCGCGGCGGCGGCGGTCACGTGGGAAGCACGGCAGTGGGCCCTTCGAATTCTGACGGCCAACACGGACTGACTTCCTTCCCAATCCATCCCTTTCAATCGAACATTTTTTAACTTCTTTAATTACTAAAATTAATTTGTAACATAATATTTATATCTATATTTATCCTGAATAAAATTTAAAATATCAAGGATGATTAATTGAATCATTCTTTCAATACCAAACGAACCTGTCATAGTGTACCATTCAAAAAGTGTACCGAACATTGTGGCGAGCCCTGCCAAGGATTTAAGATGGACAAACTCAAGAAAGCTTGTGAGACGAAAAAGAGGACTTTGGAAAGTGTTATTGCAGAAGCAGATGGCGAACTTGGAAAGCAAGAACCAAGCCTAGAAATGTTGATGTCTCTACGACCAAAGCTCCTCAGATGTAAAGACAAGTTCTTAATTGCCAGTGATTGTCTCATCGAACAACTGATAAAGGCGGATAGAGAAGATGAAGAAATTGAAGATGTCGATATCGTTCAAGCGAATCTATTTGGAAGGTCTGAAGGCGTTTTGCAAAAAATGGAACAATTACTAGCAAAACCAACAGTAGACCGAGAATCAATAGTTTCTGGGGGGAACGAAGGAAAGTCAAATCTTCATCGACTTCCGAAGTTGGAACTACCGAAATTTGGAGGAGAAGCACGGGAGTGGCTGCAGTTCTGGTCAGCCTTTCAAAGCGTCCACGATGATGACTCCATTTCGGCCTGTGTCAAGTTTCAATACCTACAAAATTGCATGATAAAGGGATCGGTGTCGGAGGAAATAGTTTCATCCTTTCCAAACTCAGCGGCAAATTATCCACTTGTCATCAGCACTCTTATGGAACGTTTTGGCCGTGAAGACATGTTGGTGGAAGTGTACGTAAGGGATTTGATTGCTATCATTTTGGAAAATGCTCATGGAAGGAACACGACATCTTTTTCGACTGTATACGTTCGGTTATCATCACAACTACGAGCGTTGGGGTCTTTAGGAGTCACAACAGATAAATGCGCTGCTATTCTGTACCCCATGGTGGAATCAGCTTTACCTGAAGATCTCTTCGTCGCGTGGGAAAGGACTCGTCATCATCACAAGCCTGATGAAGATGGAAAGCATAATTCAAGTGAAGCCCTCCTGGAGAAGCTTATGGAATTCCTAAAACACGAAGTTGAGGGAAGTGAAAGAATGCGTTTGGCTCGTCAACCGTTTTCGAGTTCGTATCCATCACAATTTAATCGAGATAAGCCGCCCAAGCCGAAGACATCTGTCGCCACCGCTGCAAGTCTGGTAGTTGCTGATGGGAAGTCAAATAACGCTTATAAATGTGTATTTTGTGATGGAAAACATTGGAGTGAACAATGCTGTAAAGCCATGTCAATGTCTCTTGAAGCAAGAAGGAAAATAATTCAAGAGAAACAGTGTTGTTATTCTTGCTTGAAGCCCGGACACTTTTCCAAGTATTGCAGAAACGTTGTGAAATGTGTCATCTGTAGTAAAAAACACAGGGCAATCTTGTGTCCAGTTTCAAAAGGCAGCCAAAAATCTGATGGGATTGAAGAGAGAAGTAAGAACATAAATGCATCCGTGTACATGTCGAATCAAATTCGGTGCCAAGATGTCTTACTTCAAACAATCATGGTAAAGATTAATGGCGAAAATAAATCAAAAGTTGTTCGAGCAATGTTAGATAGTGGATCCCAGAACTCATATGTATTGGAACAAACTGCTTCCGAAGTTGGACTCACTATGCTCGGGAAAAAGGAAGTTGTACACTTACTATTTGGTGG